TTTGTATTTTTAGTAGAGACGGGGTTTCACAGTGTTAGCCAGGATGGTCTCGATCTCCTGACTTTGTGATCCGCCCACCTCAGCCTCCAAAGTTCTGGGATTACAGGCGTGAGCCACCGCACCCAGCCATACACCTATATATTTTTTTAAAATTCAAAAATAAAACAAAAAAATACCTATCCCTCCAGGCTTATTTCCCGTTCCTCTACCCTTCTCATTCCCCTCTAGCCCAAAAGTCTCATCACTGAATTTACTACTTTTCCCAAGCTAGTTGTGTCTGTTTTTGCTTCTCTGCTTTAGTACCCCACTGTCCCCACCTTCTGCCTAGAATGTTTCTCTCTCCCATCTTCTCCTGACAACTCTTCTTTAGACTCGACTCATGTGGTACCTTTTCTGTCAAGTTTTTTTTTTCCAGAAGTTTTGCTGCCTGCTGAGCTCCCTTAGCCCTTCGTTAATTCACTTGTCATTGACATTGACCATCTTGTGTTGTATTCAATAGTCTGTCACACCGATTTGATTGTGCATTTTACTTTGGAGAAGTCCTTAGTCTTTTATGTAGCCACAGTGGCCACACATGCAGAAGATGCGCAATATTGTTGAATGAACTAATGCATTTGGGACAGGGTTACAGAAATGGGTGCAGGAGAAAAGGGGGTGGTTGAATTGGCTGTACCCAGCACACAGGTATGCAACTTGCTCACTTACTGTAGTATTCCTAGGTGTGGAGGAGTCCAACACCTGGGAATGCTCCTGAAAATAACTAGGGATGACTTTGTGGAAGTTCACTGAATCCTTAAAATTAAACTTAAGGAGAACGGATGGTGGGAATTGAAAATGATTGCATCCAGCCTGGGCTGCATAGTGAGATCCCATCTCTACAGAAAAACCAAAACCCAAACCAAAAGAGAACAGCCAAATGTGATTGCGTATGCCTTTAGTCCTAGCTACTCGGGAGGCTGAAGTAAGAGGATCGTTTGAGCCCAGAAGGTGAGGACTGCAATAAGCCGTGCTCGCATGACTGTACTGCAGCCTGCACAACAGAGCAAGTTGTCTGTGAAGGAGAGAAGGACCCAGAGAAAGTGAACAAGTGTTGATGCCACATTCACTTCATGCTCTATGGGTCAGCAGAATGTGAATGCTTGGGGGTAGATTTGTAGGGAATTTTAGGTCCTAATTTTTTTTTTTTTTAAAGACAGGCTCTCACTCTGTCACCCAGACTGAAGTGCAGTGGCACCATCTTGGCTCACTGCAGCCTTGACCTCCTGGGCTCAAGCTATCCTCCCTCCTCAGCCCTCCAAGTAGCTGGGACTACAGGTGCATGCCACCACGCCTGGCTAATTTTTTCCATTTATTGTCAAGACTGGGTTTCTCCATGTTGCCCAGGCTGGTCATAGATGTTACTATATATGATATGCACACATATAATACAACTAAAATGTACACATGATTTTTTTTTTTTAGAAAAGAACCATACTGAAAGTTAGAAAATTGGAAAGTAAAAATTCTTCTTCTACTTCCCTTCTTCAATCTCTTTCACTCAAAGTGATTCTTGTTAATAATTTATTGTGTATTCTCCCTAGAAGACTTATACGGCACTTTATCAAATCTAAACTATTACTGATTACAATTTTTTTGCAATTCTATACATGCAAATTAGGTATTTTATGTAACTGCATAAAGAAAAAAGTGCTGAGAAACAAAAAAAAAATGCTGTAGATTAAACCTTAAAGTATGCATCTTAGAATTGATGAAATACCATATGTACACATATACACACTTTAAAACATTTATGGGGTGGTGTTATTATGCAATGTATCTTGCTTTTTTTATGTAACAGTATGTCTTGGAGAGTTTTACATATCTGCATATATAGCCCTACCTCATTCTTTGTATTGATAATGATGCATTAAAATTTTATTGAACAAAGGTAGTACAGAACAATTAGTGGGCCCTTCATTGAGGGACATTTTGGTTGTTTCCAAGGTGTGTGTGTGTCTGTGTGTTTTCTTGCTTGTTTTTGCTATTACAAACATGTTGTAGTGAACCACCAACCTTGTGTGTATGTGTGTGTATATATATATAGATATAGAATATCTATATATATATAGTTGGTAAGATTTTTTCATTTTTGCTATAGTTTTTAGGAATTCCTCTATATAAAGTAGTTGCATACATTTTCTAACTTAAAATTAAATAATTGCATCACTCTTTGGAAGTCATAAGTTGATCTTTTAATATTTAGAGTTTGTTACCTGCCAAGGAATATTTGACACTCAAAAACCATGTAGAAAATGCATCTCAAATTACAGTATTTCATTGGAGGGAAGATTCTACAATTTTGTTAAGCAAAATCTCTCCAAAATGGCAGTGATCATGTATTTATATATTTCTTTGGGAATCTTAGATATATGATCTATTTTAACAAAATTTAAACTGTAACAAATTATTTATAATTTATTTTTTTCTGACACACAGTAGAGATTAATCCCTGATTATCAATTTTCAGTGTTTACAGACACTCGTATTCACAGAAACAAAGTCTGTATGTCAGTGTTCACAGTCACAAAAGTCTACTTATATAAAAACTACTTTTATTACTTATTTTAACAGATTCTGAATCCTTGCTGTTTGTGGTCTTTTGGAATAATGAATATGATATGATGTAGTTCTAAACTCTTTTTTCCCAGCTAAATTTTCCCTGATTTGGCCTGTTCATAGCTTTTTATAGTTTACCTCTTTACTTCTCTGTTTACATTTCTTCCCTCTGCTTCTTATTGACTCCTACTCACCCTTTAAGGCCAACTAATGTTCAAATCCTCCATGAAATCCTCTTTGTCTATTTTGTCCACATTTATCTCTTCCTTCTTTAAATTCCTTTTTCAGCAGAACGTCACAATTTAACATTCTTGATTGATTCATATAGCTTACTTTATCTCCTAAATGAGACTGAATTCTTCAGGAATTCTTGTCTTGGCTGGATTTCAGGCAAGACATCTAGGGGGTGCTATATTAGCTCTAGTTGTTGAGTATTTGTGGCTTGAAGTAGTCTTTTTTTTTTTTTTTCAACTTTTATTTTGGATTCAGGGGATACATATGAAGATTTCTTACAAAGGTTTATTGCATGATGCTGAGGTTTGGAGTATGATTAAACCTATCACCCAGATAGTGAGCATAGTACCCAATAGGTAGTTTTTCAATCCTCACCCCCATCCTTCCCTTCCCCCTCTTGTACCCCCAGTGTCTGTTGTTTTCATCTTTATGTCATGTATACCCAGTGTTTAGTCCCTACTTATAAGTGTGAACATGAGGTATTTGGTTTTCTGTTTCTGCGTTAGTTCACTTAGGATAATGGCCTCTAGTTGCATACATATTCCTTCAGAAGACTTGTTTTTTTTTTTATGGCTGCACAGTATACCATGGTGTATATTTTTTCAACCAATCCACTGTGAAGTTGTATTCTTAAGACAAGAGGCGGGGCTTCTCCAGAGACCTGGAAGAGGTATAGCTAACGCAGCGGATCATCACAGCCCACTCCCTCTAGTGTCAGAGGAATGCCTGGGCTGCTGTTTCACAGATGGACACCTATTCTGCCCAGCATTAGACTTGCCACCAAATATTTTTACTGCGAATGGGCTAACCATTAAGGTGCAGCCCTAAAACCCTACCAAGCTCAAAAATGCACCCTGACACTGTGTTTCAAAATGGTGGCGTAGAAGCAAGCTGGCTGCTTCTTCTCCCTTACCACCAGAAAATGGAAACAAACACACAATGTTAAGATTATCACCAGCAATATCCCAAAACTCAGATATAAGGATGAGATCATTTCTAGTACCACAGAGAAGTGAAAAAACCTCTAAGCAGATGGTAAGAGAATTGGACTTCCATAGCATGACACTCCTTATCCCCAGTCTGCCTGGCACCAGGCAAATGGAAAATTTCCCCCAGTCTTATGGTTTCTCTAATGGGCAAAGTGAGATTGAAGTGAACAACCAACTTTCCTACCATCTTGGGTTCCATGGCAGGAGATCTGTTCCTGCCTCAATCCACAGGCAGTATCAACAGTACTAAAGGGAGAAATATCCCCGAGGATAGCCAGAGACGAAGGAGGGAGATGGGACTACCATCCCCAGTCCTGGAAACTCTGCTCTGTAACTTGGCCAAAGAAGACACCAAATCAGAGTTGCTGTTTGGCAGTACCATGCTGTAGGAAGCTCATTCCCCAGTTCCCTTAGGCATGAACCCCTAGCCAGCATTCCCACACTGCTGGGATAATCCCTTTAGGACTTCTCCCATTTTGGATGGGCAGCAATCTGATTACTAGGACTGAGGCAAACCGAGGCTTAAGCTGACATCTAGTGCTGGAAATGAGTCAGTGACCTAGTGAAAAAGAAAAGAAAATCCACAGGTAAATTATAAAGAGTCTCTAAGCAGACATATCCAATAAAAACCAAAACCAGCCAGAGAAGACTGGAGTAAATAATTAATCCTTCAACAAAAAGACATACACATACATTCACCAGAAACAATAATAAACAGAGGGTCATGACCTCTTCAAAAGGACAAAGCAAGAAACCAGCAACTAACCCTAATAAGAATGCAATATATGAACCCTCTGACCAAGAATTCGAAATAGCAGTTTTAAGGAAACTCAGTGATCTCCAAGATAACACAGAAAAACAATTCAGAAATTTATCAGAGAAGGTTAACAAAGAGATTGAGATAAAAAACCCATAAATTTTGGAATTAAGAAATACATTTGCTGAGCTAAAAAACTTACTAGAGGTTCTCAACAGCAGATCAAGCAAAGAAAGAATCACTGAACTCAGACAGGTTGTTTGAAAATGTGCAGAGGAGACAAAAGGAAAAAGAATGAAGAGGAACAAACATATAGAAAATTACCTCAAAAGACCAAGTTTAAGAATTATTGAGTTTGTGACCAGCCTGAGCAACAGAGTGAGACCCTGTCTCAAAAACTGAAAAATAAAAAAATTAGCCATGCATGGTGGTACATTCCTATTGTCCCAGCTACTCAGAAGGCTGAGGTGGGATGATCACTTGAAGCCAGGAGCTTGAGTACTGGTACTGTTTGGCGGTACCATGAGACCAGTCTCAGCAACATAACAAGACCTTGTCTCTACGAAAAATAAAAATAATAAATAAATAAATACATAAGCCAGGCTGGTGGCATGCACCTGTAGTCTTAGCTACTTGGGAGGCTGAAGTGGGAGGGTCACAAGCTTGAGAGGTCAAAGCTGCAGTGAGCTATGATCATGCCACTGCACCTGAGCCCAGGTGGTAAAGTGAGGCCCTGTCACAAAAGAGAAAGAGAGAGAGAGAGAGAGAGAGAAAGAGAAGAGAAAGGGAGTGGGGAGAGGGAAGGCTAAAAAAACCCTGCTGATAGTAGTTTGGGAACAATGGTTTATGTTGACACTTTCTAGGGGCAGTGGGTGGGTAAACTGGTTAACTGGCAGCTAAAAGATAGGTCAATTTGTCCTTGAGTAGGCCAATTAAGGGTATCAAACAAACAATTACAGCTGTTTATGAGTTCTCTGGAAAACTTGGAAAGGGCAGTTGTGGGGCATAGATGACAGGCTGGCTCTGTGTCGTGTCTGCTGGTGACCCATTGTAAGAAGCTTCATCTTACTTAGGCCAGGTCTGCATCTGTGTCCTCAGAATTTCTCACTAGAAGCCTCTTTTTCTGTCTTCTTACGTGTTTGGGAATGTATCCTTTTGTTCTCCAAATATTTACTATTATTTTGGTTTCTGGATTTTAACCACATCCTGAAAACATATTTATTTGGTTGGAGGCATCGTTACTGTCCTACAACATGATTTTTGTCTGTAGCTGACATCTCTTCTTCCACTGGCGTCCCCTAATTTCCATGGTTATGTGCTCATTACTTCTACACTTCTTTATTATCAGAGCTTTTCTGATTAGGTAGGCTACATTTATGCTTTCTATAGTACCGTTGCCTCAATAAATAGTCACAATCACTTTTCAGTGTGGACTTTCTGTTTGGTCTTGGGGTTATTTATTTTGGCTGCTAAGAGGATGTTTTATGCTTTTATGGTAGATGAGATGGCAGACAGTAGAATGTCTGATTGATGAACTGTATTGCATCACAGAGTTCCTTGAAGCAAGGAACATTTAGAGTTCACGAAGTTCTTTGCTTGGTCTCTTGCACAGTGAGTACCTTGGCAGTGATCTACACTCTGTCCTCTAATTTAGTGGCTCTCAATCTTTTTTTAGCCCTAAGGCACCTGAGGACAGGTGCCCTCCCATGAATTGCCGGGGTTACTATGGCAGGGATGGGATGTGCGTGGAGGGACAGTCCCCTAGGGCCATAACATAATCAGGAGGAGCACTTAAAGTTTGAAAAAGCTCCCAGGTGTGTGTGTGTGTGTGTGTGTGTGTGTGTGTGTGTGCTGTCCTCACTAAAAATATCACCTCTCCCGCCCCATAAACTAAGCTTCCTTAGATAATATGGCAAGGCAGAACTTGATGATTTTGCTGCTTGCCTAGCTAAAACGGGAGGAATAAAAACGTACAACACTCAATTTACTATAGTTTTAAACGAACCTCTGTTATAATTCTAGGTTTTGAAGCATAACGACGGAGGATGGAGAAGGATGCTGAAGAAGGCGGCGCCCCCTCTGAGGGAGCAGAGGCTCCTCCCTCCACGGAAGAGGCTGGCCCTCCCCGTTCAGAAGAGGAAGAGGCCCCGCGCCCTCCAACGGTGGAGGCTCCGGCGGAAGATAATTTCTCCCTTTCCCCAGAAGATGATGTTCCTTCTGTGGTGGATTATCGGGATCTCATTCCTTCTGAAGAAGGGATAGTTCTTCCGGATGATGATGAAGCGGATCTGAATAGAGTTCGACCCAGGCTTGCACCGCGACCGGTTCAATCACTGATTTCGGAAGTGCTGTCCTCCCCGTCTTCCCGGCGGTCCTCCAGATACCGCCGGAGTATGAGTGGCCTTCCCAATCTGCAGGAAACATTAAAAGAGAGACAGGTTTGCTTCTAATAAGATTTTTCATGCGTGCCACTTTCCTTTACAAATACGAAATACTTTTGCTTTACAAAATATGAAATAGTTTGATGTTTTCTCTGCAGAATTGCAATTTTGACGCTTGGTTTTCATTCCTTAGGCAAGATTTAGAGAGGCAAGGGAAAGCCGAAGACAGAAAATTGACCCTTCATACAAATATATATTTGAAATTCTAGCAGGAAATCTTGGCCTGGACATTAATTCTGTGGAAGAATTAATTTTGGATTGTCCATCTGTAAGTTTAAGTCTTATCATTATATTTTAATTGCTCTTTGAGTAAGTGATTAACTTAGGAAAACAGAGTTGTCCTAAACAACAACAAAAATCATTTAGAAAGACAAAGTTGGGGCAGGGCATAGTGGCTCATGCCTGTAATCCCAGCACTTTGGGAGGCTGAGGTCTGAGGATTGCTTGAGGCCAGGAGTTTGAGAGTAGCCTGGGCAACATGGAGAAACTCCTGTCTCTGCAAGAAACACAAAAATTGGTTGGGCGTGGTACACTGTACCTGTGGTCCCAGCTACTCAGGAGGCTGGGGTGGGAGGAACTCTTGAGCCTGGGAGGTGGAGGATGCGGTGAGTACTCCAGCCTGGCTGACAGAGTGAGATCTTGTCTAAAAAGAAAAAGATTAAAGTTGGAATTTTACTGACTAGAGGAGAAGATTTAGTTTATATAATTATAGCCAGTTGAATGGTATTTCTTTTTAAATTAAATTAAATTAATTTGTTTGTTTGGGACGGAGGCTCGCTCTGTTGCCAGGCTGGAGTGCAGTGGCGCGATCTCGACTTACTATTTAACCTTGACTTCTGGATTCTCCTGCCTCGGCCTCGTGAGTAGCTGGGACTACAGGCATGCGCCACCATGCCCAGCTATTTTTAAATTTTTTGTGTTTTTAGTAGAGATGGGGTTTCACCATGTTGGCCAGGATGGTCTCTAACTCCTGACCTCATGATCCGCCCACCTGGGCCTCCCAAAGTGCTGGTACAGGCCTGAGCCACTGCACCCTTCCCAGCTGAATGGTATTTCTAGTCAGGTTTACTGTTGTGGAGGAAGAAGAGAAGACTTAGCAACTAGAATTTTGGCTAAACTTCTAGCTTAGAATGATGTCAGAAGTTAGAGGCATAGTTGAGTGACGGTAGGTAATATTTTGCAAGTACAGATTATATGAACTACATATGCAAATCACTTGTAGAGAAAAACTGCATAAATAAGTCAGGGAACAGTGACTATTGTATGAGTATACGGTAGTAGAAATAGTGATGTGATTGCAGGTCAGGTTACCATATGTCTCAGTGTGCCAGGGACAGTTCTGGATTGTACCTATTTTCCTGGCATGATTAACAGTACCTCCTGACACTACTAAAAGTTTTGGATGATAAATTGATGTGGTCACCCTAATTATAGTAATGTATGATACACTTGTGTCATAGCTTCCCTCCTCATAGCTTGGTTCTAAGATAATTTTCAATAAAACTACCACTAGCTTCTTGGGCTTTTTCTCAACCCTAGGAGTGGACTGGGCTGGTATCCCAGAAAGACCAGTGAGCAGGTGCAGACTGCTGGTGAGCGGATTTTCTCACTGAATGCACTGGTGGGAGAGTTGGGGTGAGGTGGGGTTGTAGTGAGGTTGTCACTGTGGGGGCCATATCCCCTGCTTTTATAGGGGTCATCAAACATGGGCAAAACTCTTTAGCTTGCTCTAGAAGCCAGGGTTCTATGGAACAGTGCCTAAAAGAGCTACTCCCGGCCGGGTGCAGCAACTCACACCTGTAATCCAAGCACTTTGGGAAGCTGAGGTGGGCAAATCACTTGAGGTCGGAAGTTCAAGACCAGCCTAACCAAAATAGTGAAACCTTGTCTCTACTAAAAATATAAAAATTAGCTGGGTGTGGTGGCATGTGCCTGTAGTCCCAGCTACTTGGGAGGTTAAGGCAGGAGGATCACTTGAACCCAGGAGGCAGAGGTTGCAGTGAGCCGAGATTGCACCACCAGACTCCATCCTTGGCGATACAGTGAGACTCCAACTCATATAATAATAATAATAATAGTAATAATAAAGAGCTACCCCTTGCTTCATATAGTGCATTGCTAAATTCTGCAAAATTGTCTGCGCTTCATGTCGTCCAGTATCCTTATAAGAATATGGTCCTGGCAGTTCCCCGACAGTAGGAATGGGATTGCTCATTTTCTTGGTCCTGTTGTGTAGCTGTAATAGTTAGATGGGGATGTGATTGATGCAAAGACATCAATAGCTCTAAGCTATTATAATGACAAAGTATATAGAATTCATGGAGATGTGTACATAAAACAAGAGGTGTCACAGCAAGCAACTGGAAGTAAGTTGTGGTTTCCCAGGTCACCAAAGTTCCCTGCTGGAATTTACTGCTGTGTTCAAGGCTGGCTTCATGGATATATGGGCTGTGTAGTTACAGAGGCCCCTGTGCTTAGAATGTCACTGTACTTGGTTTGATGATCTTTTGTCACCATTTTGAAGTTCTTGATAATTCTTTGGTAAATGTCTCTCATTTTCATTTTGCACTGGGTTCATCAAATTCTGTAGCTGGTCCTGACTGTGGACAATGCCAACCAAATAGTAAGAGGATTTTCTTTGCCATTCTCAAGTTGGGTTTGTTTGTTTTAATGGTCTCCTTTCCCCAATGAGTTCTAGTTTCTGTAACGATTCTGGCTACATGTCTTTCTAGCCTTTCTAAGCAACTGGTGCAAAACAACCTTATATGCATCCCTGAGATAATGACAATGTTAGAAGAAGGCGAGGCCAATTTCTAAAAAGTCATTTCTTAGTAGGCCCAGGCTTCAGGCCTGTCCCGAGGATCATTCCTGCATTTGGTTAAGGAGGAAGGAAGATAAGTGATCGATTTTGTTTCACCTGAGAATTGCTGGGCCACAAATTTGGATAACACCACAACTGGAATCCCTATACCTTCTGCAAAGGGTATAGGCATAGGCATTGTGTCCTGATCACTGCCTTCATGAAAGGGTAACTGCTAGAACTAAGGTGGGGTGGGGGAGGTGGGCACCTGCAGTAATCCAACTTTAAGTATTTGCCATCTGGATTTCTGGGCTGGTATTCTCTGTTTGGAGGAATTCTTACTGGCTAGCATGCTACAGTAGCATGTGCCTACAAAGCCTTCTATTTGCTATTCCTGGGATATGTCTCAGACTTTGGGTCCATGTGGTTAGATTCTACTTTGAAGGTCATTATCGTCCAGGCCAGACACTGCTTAGGCTGCAAGGAATGGGAAATGCAGGCATTAAGGAAGAATCAAGCTGCCAAAGGTATTTCCTTAAAAGTTGCTTGTGAGTATACAAAGCCATAGTGGAGGGAAAATCGTGTACCCAGTAGGGAAACCAGTGTCAAAATCTGAAAGATTAGAATGCTTATTTGATTGTGGGGAAAAGGCAAGGACATATGATAGGTTGGATCAAGGTTGGTGACCACGTGAGTAAGGAGATGGAACAAGAAACAAGGGGTGGCATGATTTGGTGTGGTGCAGTTTAGGAAATTGGGGGTATATGGAAAAGTATTCTTTAGTTTTTATTTTTTAATTTTTTTATTTTTATTTTTTTTGAGACGGAGTCTCCCTCTGTTACCCAGGCTGGAGTGCAGTGGTGCGATCTCAGCTCACTGTAACCTCCACCTCCCAGGCTCAAGCGATTCTCCTGCCTCAGCCTCCTGAGTAGCTGGGACTACGGGTGCATGCCACCACGCCCAGCTAATTTTTGTATTTTTAGAAGAGACAGGGTTTTGCCATCTTGGCCAGGCTGATCTCAAACTCCTGACCTCAAGGGATCCACCAGCCTTGACCTCCCAAAGGGCTGGGATTACAAGTGTGAGCCACCACGCTGGGCCTGGAAAAGTATTCTTTTAATGTGAAGCCTGTCGTGCAATCCAGGATGAAAGCAGCTCAGTAAAGGCACCACAAAAAAGTGGACAACAGATGGTATGATGGTTACTTTGTTTGCCTCTGGATCCATTCTCCCTTTGTCTTTGTCCTGCTCTGTGGCATAGAAAGCTGAATGCAATAGAATCTATCACGTGGGCTCCCTTGCTCTCCGGTTTCCACTTGTTTCAGCCACTGGGAGGCACAGCAGGAGATGGGAGGGCAGAAGGGGAGAGAAGCTCCCCACCTGGCCCTATTCCTGACTGTGGTTGTCTGCTGCCATAGTTGTAGCTCCCTGAGCAGCCTGCATCTCCAGTTCTCAACCTGGCCCTAGTCATTCTGTTTCCTCTAGCTCTCAACTCTTTAGGCCTTGGGGGATCACGGGTTTCCTTTGTTGCTAGTCCCATTGTTGCTACTAGTGCTGCAGTTTCCTTTAATCCTGCTCTAGCCTCTAGAAATAGTCATTTATTTTATAAACAAAATAGCCTTTTTATTTATAAAGTTTTGTCACAAAACCCCTTTGGGTGTGAATTCTTTTCTTGCTAGGACCCTGACCAATACAGATGTTTCTGCAACATTGGCACTTTTACCCCTTCCCACTTTCCTGCCCCCTTTATTCAGCACTGCTCAAGATAATCTCTTTTCTGGCTTACTGGCAATGTTTTCCAGTGACTGGGTGGCACGGTTGTGGTACTGTGGAAGGAGCACAGATTTGGACACCCAAGGCTGAAGTCCAATCCCAGGTTCTGTGCTGTGCTTGTGTGTTTTGTGTCCTTCACTTACATATTTTTTTGTTTTCTTTTGAGACAGACTATCGCTCTTTTGCCCAGGCTGGAGTGCAGTGGTGTGATTATAGCTCACTGCAGCCTCAACCTCCCGGACTCAGGCCATCCTCCAACTTTAGCCTCCCAAGTAACTGGGACCATTGGCACATACCACCATGCCCAGCTAAATTTTTTGGTATTTATATAGGGAGGAAATTTCACCATGTTTCTCAGGCTGGTCTTGAACTCTTGGGCTCAAGCAATCTGCCCACCTGGGCCTCTCAAAGTGCTGGGATTACAGGGGGGAGACACCGAACCTGGCCTACTTAAATTCTTTTTACCTTAATTTTCTCTTCTGTAAGAAGGGTATAATAATGTCATTTTAACTAGGTGATACTCAGATGAACTGTTGGTAAAATGCTATGTAATATAAGTGAATTTTTAATTCACAGTCATGATTTTGGTCCATGATCTCACATTTCCTTTGCTAGTCTCATGAGTACAATGTATCTAAAATGCAAGGATTCATTGCATTTGATATTTTGATGTCTTTTTATCCCAGTCATGTGCACTGCTTTTGAGAATTTGTGTGCTTTCACAGCTAAAGGGTCAGCAAGAAAGTACTGATGGAGCTGTGCAAGAAGAACTATGTGGACAGCTTTTGTCCCTTTTAGGTGGTAATTATGTGAGACCCAGGTGTATACGGGAGGTGGAAGAGTAGAGAACTAAGGGCTAGAGTTACGCACATCTTGGTGGCTTTGTTTTATCTCCCAGGGTGATGGTTCTCAAATGTGGTCCCAGGACCAGTTGCATCAACATCACCTAGAACCTGGTAGGAATGCAAATCATTTTGTGTTTTTAAAAAGCCCTCTGTGTGATTCTCTGATGCACACTAACATTTGAGAACACTGTCCTAGGAGGAGTGACTTTGCTACACTTGGGATACTTCCCCTAGGCCGTCAGTATATTAAGAGATACAGTGGCTGGGTGGGGTGGCTCACACCTGTAATCCGGGCATTTTGGGAAGCCAAGGCAGGAGCATCACTTGGGGGTCAGGAGTTCAAGACCAGCCTGGCCAACATGGTGAAAACCCATTTACTAAAAATACAAAAATTAGCTGGGCATGGTGGCAGAAGTCTGTAATCTCGGCTACTCGGAGACTAATGCCAGAGAATCTCTTGAACCTGGGAGGCAGAGTTTGCAGTGAGCCGAGATCGCACTCCAGCCTGGGTGACAGAGCGAAACTCTGTCTCAAAACAAGCAAACAAACAAGCAAGCAAACAAACAAACAACTTCTGTATGGGAATTAGTGGGATTAGGTGAATGGGTATATGACTTTGTATTTCCCATAGGATATTTCAGGGCTTTTGTTTATGTTATCTATTTAGTTTTCTGTTTCCTAAGATATTACACTGACTCCTAAGTAATTGAATAAAAACTTCATGCTCATAAATATGGAAGAATCTCAGTATAATAATTTGTTTTTACTTTAGTTTTGCTATAATATGGATCAAATTACAATACCTAAAAACATAATTGCTCAAATAATTGGTCAACAACACAGTTAGTCAATAGGCAAATTTTCTGTTCCCCAAGTAAGCTTTTAAGAATAGTTTATCTTGGCCGGGCGCGGTGGCTCAAGCCTGTAATCCCAGCACTTTGGGAGGCCGAGACGGGCGGATCACGAGGTCAGGAGATCGAGACCATCCTGGCTAACACGGTGAAACCCCGCCTCTACTAAAAAATACAAAAAACTAGCCGGGCAAGGTGGCGGGCGCCTGTAGTCCCAGCTACTCGGGAGACTGAGAAAGGAGAATGGCGTAAACCCGGGAGGTGGAGCTTGCAGTGAGCTGAGATCCGGCCACTGCACTCCAGCCTGGGCGACAGAGCGAGACTCCGCTTCAAAAAAAAAAAAAAAAAAAATAGTTTATCTTAATAATAATTCTCTTATTAAATATTAAATATTAAAATATTTACCTCAAGTTGGACTCACCTATTTACCCCATATGATTCCTTGGGGCAGGGTCAGGTAAGTGGCTGCCCAAAACTATATATGTAGATCATTAATGTAGGTTCAGAAATATATTTCAACCTATATTATATTGCACAGTAATTTTGGTGTTAAATTAGTTTGGGTTCTAAGCTTGCCTTTATGTATCTTTGAATAAACTCTTTGAGCTTCTTCTTCATCATCTACAAAATACCAAGAATTTTCCCTTAGTCATTTGACTGATTATCATTTTCTCTTTTATTTAACAGCTGGAAGCATTTACTAATTTTTTTGTGAAAGATGGTTGTAAGACACTGAAATTTTTGTACCAAGAAGGAGATGTACCTGGTATTGGTAAGAATTTTATGAGGGCAATGTGCCAGTAATTAGTTCACGCACGTTAAAGTGCAGCATACTTTTTCTCTTATACATAGATAATCTTTTATTTATAAAGAAAATGTTACCAGAAGTTTACGCATAAGAAATATAGTGCCTTAAGAACAACACATTCTCAGCCCAAATACATGTTTCAGGCCTTGCTATAATGTTTCAGGAGAAAATATCCTTATAGAAATCATTGACCTCTGCTGGGAATACACATTTTCATTAGAATTTAATTGCATTTTCCCTGAAACAGGTGGAGCCATTTTGTCCAGATGATTAGAAGTGGTGGTGAAACCACTCCAGAACCCCACAGCTGCCCCCTGCGGTCCTGTCGCACCATCTTGTGCCTGCTGCAGCTGTCACTTGGAATAGCTGGGTTTCCCTACTGTGCATATTATGCCTGAACTAATTAACATACTACCAGCTTGTTCAAACTTTGTTTTAATAACTAGATATGTGGGTTACTCTTTTGGTCTGAGACTACTCATCATCAGAGTCCTGTGGATTTACCTTCAACACATCCCTCCCATTGCTTCTTTCTCACTTGATTCCTCTGCTGCCTCAGGCTAGGCCTTCCCTGGTGTTCCAGATTGAAAACCAGTATCTCTGTAATCAGATTCTCCCTCTGAAATCCGTACTGCTTATTCCTGCCAAATATATCTTTTATTGTTCCGCTATTTATTGGATTGGCTCCAGATCTCATTTATTCAAGGCCCGCTGTCATCTGGACACACAGTGCTTGTCTAGTCTGATCTCCTACTCTTCCAGATGTGAATTTGCTGCTCTCTTTAAGCCCCTCTTCATTGCTTTCTGCATACTAGAGTTATTTCTTTTCCCCTTCTCTGCTCTCCTGGCTTTTCCAGATTGCTTTTCTTCTCTCCACTCAGCATACCCTAGCCCCCTCCTTCAGAACACCTCCAACAGAGCCCTTCCCAGGGTGTTCCAACCCACAGCCATGGCTATTCTCCAGATTCCTGTCTCATTTACAGTATCCATGTAAATATAGTACTTAATCGATTGTGTTCTTCTACCTTCCTCCAATTGTTTAATATTTAAGTCTTGCTTCTTTGACAAAATATGTAAACTCACAATTAGCAACTAGGTTGGCTTTGTGGATTTTCTGTCTCTCATGGTTCTTATCGTGGGAGGATTATTGTGTGGTCTGTATTTTTATAACTTGTTAAAAATTAAAACAATAGCTGAAAATTGAAGAAAGATAAAATATCTATAATTAGAAGCAAAATACAGTCCCAATCAGTTGGAGAAAACACTGTTAACTCAATGAATATTTCTCTATAACTGGTTTATATACATATTTTACAAAAATGGGGTCCAATTCTAGATATTATTCTATAGTGGCTGTTTAATTTTGATAATATTGTCTTCTTTATGCCAATAAGTACATTTATCCAATTAAAATGTTAACACTTGCATTTTATTTCATTAGGATGATATAACTGTAATTTTCCAAACTGATCTCTCAGTAGAATTTAGGTTGTTTACAACTTTTTGCTCCCTGAAACAATGCCTCAGTGAATATTACTGAATACAAATCTATGTGGATTAGGAATAAATTTTAGGAGAAATTCTCAGAAGGGAAATTGCCAGAGCAAAGGGTACACATATTTTTAATCATTATTTTTGCTACTTACGAAAGTACATTTATCAGTTTGGTAAATATTCATCTACATTTCTTTGTTGTTGTTGTTGTTGAAACAGAGTCTCACTCTGTCACCCAGGCTGGAGTGCAATGGTGCGATCTTGGCTCACTGCAGCCTCCGCCTCCCGGTTCAAGTGGTTTTCCTGCTTCAGCCTCCTGAGTAGCTGGGATTACAGGCACACACCACTGCGCCCGGCTAGTGTTTTGTATTTTTAGTAGAGACGGGTTTTCGCCATGTTGGCCGGGCTTGTCTTGAACTCCTGGCCTCAGGTGATCCACCTGCCTCAGCCTCCCAAAGTGCTGAGATTTCATAGGTATGAGCCACCACACCCAGCCTACATTTCTTTCTTATATGCATGTGTTAACATATAAATGCTTATTATCAGCTAAAAATGTGGTTATATAATACATTTTATTCTTGACTTGGTGTTTGCATTTGACAGGGTAGCCTAGATATTTTTTTATGTCATTATATAAAGATTTATCTCATTCAAAAAATTTGGTATAATGTAACATTCCATTATACAGCTGCATTGTGATTTTAGAAATCATTCCCTATTGATGGTCACATCTCTCCTCTTCATCAGGAAAACTCAAGCTTGTCTTATGTCTAATCAGCCAGAGCTGTGTCATATGGCTATCCTGGGGACCAGGGAGGCTGAGAGAGCAGTTTTCTTTCTAGGGATGTACACAATGGGACAAAGTCAGGTTCTCTTAGCAAAGAAAAAGGGAAGGGTAGTAAATCCCTGTGCAGTCTCGATAAATGGGCATTTGGGCTCTTATATTGCTACATACCATGTATCAGTGTTCTTAGGCTGCAAGCAACAGAAATAGATCTGGCTTATATGAGCAGAAAACAGTGTTTTGGGAGGCGGAAGATGGATAACAAAATTTTGAACCAGTTGAACAATCAGGTCTTGGGAAGGACAAGAATAGAACATTTCCACAGATTTCAGGGCAGTTTCTGTAGGATTCATCAGTAGACTTCCATCTCTCAAATCCCTTTTTTTCTTTGTGTGTATTTATTTAAGGTTTATATTCTTGCAGAGTCTAATTAGTCTAGTTCTTACATGCCCACCTCTATGGAGCCCTGGCACTGGTATCCTCGAGAATCACAGGTCAGGAGGAATCTCCCAACCCCCCAAAAAAGAAAGGCTGGGCAGACAAAACATTTCTGTGGCTTTGTGATGTGGATATTCTATTTCTTTCTTTCCTTTTTTTTTTTTTTTTTGAGATGGGGTCTCACTAGGTTGCCCAGGCTGGAGTGCAGTGGCATGATGATGGCTTATTGCAGTCTTGACCTCCCAGGCTCAAGTGATTCTCCCGCCTCAGCCTCCCGAGTAGTTGGGACTACAAGCACATGCCACCACACCTGGCTAATTTTAAAAAATTATTTGTATTGACAAGGTCTTGCTGTGTTGCCCAGGTTGGTCTCAAACTCCCGGGTTCGAGCAATCCTCCTGCCTTGGCCTCCTAAAGTGCTGGGATTATAGGTGTGAGACACTGCACCTGGCCGATTTTCTATTTCTTTTATTACATTTTAAATTGGCTATTGCTGCAAATAGAAGGCTGTTGATTTTTGCAAATTAACATTGTGACCAACTATCTAACATAATTCTCATATTTTTAATAGTTTTTCTAATTAAAAAAGATTGATAATTAAATGTTTAATTTTCATTGAAATTAGTTCAAGGAAGGATTTAATAGAAGGTGGATACAAAGAGTGTATTTAGTACAGGAACTGGACCTTCTTGGGGGAGTCAGTGAAGGCTTCCTGCGATGGTGGCATTTCCGCCGAGATCTGAAAGATGAGTAGGAATTTCATAGGTAAAAGGTTGGGGATGGGATAGGAGAACAGCTTGTGTAAGGCCCTGAGGCCAGGCCAAAAGGAACGGAAGTACAGAGTTCAGAGAAAGGTACCCAGAGGAGGCTGCAATTTAAGATGCAGTTATTGGCTGGGCACGGTGGTTCACGCCTATAATCCTAGCACTTTGGGAGGCTGAGCCAGGCAGATCACTTGAGGTAAGGAATTTGAGACTAGCCTGGCAAACATGGTAAAACCCTGTCTCTACTAAAACTACAAAAAATTAGCCAGGCACGATGGCGCATGCCTGTAATCCCAGCTACTTGGGAGGCTAAGGCACAAGAATCACTTGAACTTGGGAGGCGGAGGTTGCAGTGAACTGAGATTGTGCCACTGCACTCCAGCCTGGGAGACAGAGCAAGACTCCATCTAAAAAAAAAAAAAGGGAAAAAGATGCAATTATTGGGCAGGCATGGTGACTCACACCTGTAATCCCAGCACTTTGGGAGGCCGAGGCAGGTGGATCACCTGAGGTCAGGAGTTTGAGACCAGCCTGGCCAACATAGTGAAACCCCGCCTCTAGGAAAAAAATACAAAAATTAGCCGGATGTGGTAGCACACGCTTGTAGTGCCAGCTACTCAGGACGCTGAGCCAGGAGAATGGCTTGAAGGGAGGTAGAGGTTGCAGTGAGCTGAGATCTCACCACTGCACTCCAGCCTGGGCAACAGAGTGAGACTTTGTCTCAAAAAAAAAAAAAAAAGATGCAATTATTGACATCTTCTAGTAGACCCCCCCAAAAAATTATTCTATGACCATATTGAAAACTTCTTACAATAAAGTAAAAGAGGAAACAATGGTGTAAAAGCCACAGTAACTTATCTCATTTGACTTGTTATGTGATGATATGCTAAGTTCTTGACTTTTGTTTTCAGAATGCGGTCGAACTATTCCTGGAGCAACTAAAGGGGCAAAAATGATGAAATTGTATATAGACAATGCAGCCCCGGATAAACTAAAAGGACTGTGCATATTTTTTGTTCGTTGCCGTAATGATGTTGCTATAAATGTTAAAACTGTTCAAGAGGTATGTTTAAAAATTTCCGCAAATACATAGTTAAACACTGAATATATTTTCATAGTCATGCTTTACTTTGCTTTCCCTTTTTAAATATAGGACTGAATTGAGTTCCAAGAAAATAAATGTATTCATATATTCAAAGAAATTGACTGTAATAGAGCTTAGTTATATTGATACTTTAGATACTGCTTTTAATTTCATGAAAATTTCATTTCTTGATGGTGTGCAAATAATTTTTATCCTCCCATTCACTAGGAAGACATTTAATTTTGTTGATGCAAAATACTAGTTACTTTATTTAACTTCCTCTTCACTCAATATTTTAGCTCTCTTATCGTTTTAAAAGAAGAAGAGAGAGTTGTCCTAGAGCCTGGACATTGCTAACCTAGTTCTGGGAAGGCAGGATGATGGAATGGGAAAAGCAATAATTTTAGCTGGATAGACCCAAATTTGCCTCTTAGCTTCACCACTGACTAATCACTTAAGTGTATCCTCTGGAAAGTTGCTCATCCTTTCTGAGACTTAGGTCTCTACATTCTTAAATTGGGAATAATAGTACACACCTGACAGGATTGTAGTGACACTAAATGATAGTAAAAACAAATTCTTATTATATTGCCTGACATACAGTAGGCTTTCCACAAGTTCTCTTTGTTATTCTTAGAGAGTCTTAATACCTTTTACAATGGGAAAGGGAACTGAAGTCTAATCTTGTTCCTTTTCTGTTATGATAAAAGAGAGCTTGTTTAGCTTGGTTTAAGATTTTAGGTTGGCAGTTATTTTTCCCTGACCCCTTGTAAATATTTCATGGTATTTCTTGTGGATGATGAGAGCACTCCTGTTGGTGTAATTCATAGGTAATCTGCCTTTTTTTCTTTCTGTTTGCTTTTGCTCTTTGTCTTCAAAGTCCTGTAGTTTCATCACAATGCCTCTATGTATGGATATTTCCTCAATTTGTCTTCCATTTCATTAATTCTTTCTTCAACTTATCCATGATTTCATCCATTCATTTTTATAATTTATCTTTTGTTTTAGCTCAGTTATATGTGCATGTAAAGAGAGAAAGAGTCCTTTTATGAAATAGTATAAGTCTTTCATAACTGAAAAACTGACTTCTATTCTCCAGAAGCAACTATTAAACCCTTTTAATGGATTCTTTTATTTACCTGTATGTCTCTAAATAATATGCTCTGATTGCTCCTTTTGTCAATTTAGACATTATCTGTGGCCCAGTCACGGTGGCTCACACCTGTAATCCTGGCACTTTGGGAGGCTGAGGCAGGCAGATTGCCTGAGCTCAGGAGTTCGAGACCACCCTGGGCAACAGAGTGAAATGCCGTCTCTACTAAAATACAAAAAATAGCTGGGTGTGGTGATGCACTCCTGTGGTCCCAGCTACTCCGGAGGCTGAGGGATGAGAATCGCTTGAGCCCCGGAGGCAGAGGTTGCAGTGAGCTGAGATCACACCACTGCACTTCAGCTTGGGCTACAGAGTTAGAAAAAATAAATAAATAAAAGAAGACATTTTCTGCGGACTTTTCTCTCTGGAAGATGATAATTTAGCTCTTTTTCTACCTTCTGACCCTTGTTTCTCCATCCCTCTATTCTTCCAACATAGTTATGTTCTATTTGACTTAGCTAAATATTTGTTTACATCATTATAACTAAATGTAATCACAGATGAGCCATGTAATGTAACAGTGGTTCTTAAACTCAAACCCATTTTCATCATAATACTAAGATACTAGTTGCCCTTTTCACCAATGTTGACATTTGACTGATGGTGCAGAAGCAACGGTGGGAAAAACTACTGATACCTTGACACAAATCAAGATGACACCAAACTGTATGAGTAGTAATTGTATACTTTATTGCCACACACTCACAGTTAAAAAACTAGCAATCAATTTTTTGGTGGCCCTAGACAAGTTTTTTAATTTTAATTTTTTGACTTGTGATTTCTAAATCACTTAAGATGTATTAATTGAAATGTCACGCATGGGTGCTGGGCTTTTGATTTCTGGGCTTTTGGTTTCTTATGGCTGGTAATTTATCCCACCAAACTTCTGGACAAGGGCTTTTCACCAGAAAAAAAAAAAAATCATGGACAGGGCAACTTTCAACTAAGGATTTTCTTTACGCAGGTTTGGTTCCATGTCCCTCACCTTGAATAGGCTCCAGGCTATTGCTCCTTTCCTATGCAGAAATTAAAGCACCAAATAAAACATCACTTTGATGAGCAAATATGGGAATAATTAAATTGGGGGCAGAATATAAGTTTGTTGACTTTAGAACGCTAAGGTTCATAACCACTTAAGATTCCCTAATAAAATGTGTTAGTTGTCTATGTTTATTGCAATATAAAACAGGTTGTGATTTTTCAGTTCTTCAGTGGGATTAGCATGTGGAATAACATTTAAACTCCACTCTTTCAGGAAGCGCTATTTACTGTTCTGGATGCATCGAAAGGACTCTTAAATGGAATTAGGGATATGTTGGCAAATATATTTCTACCAGCTGTTCTTGCAACAAATAACTGGGGTGCTTTAAACCAGTCCAAGCAGGGAGAATCTGAAAAACATATTTTCACTGAAACCATCAACAGATATCTTTCATTTTTAGATGGTAAGTATAAAAGTTAATGTTTAGCAAATTGCAGAAAAGAAGCAAATTAACTGAGATATTTCATAAACATTAGAGAAAAAGTTTCTATCTTAAAAGATGTTAATCAAAGTAATTATGAGACTTAGAGGTAAGAAATGAAATCATTAGAACTCATTTTTGAGGATCTTTGGTGGAGTAAGATATATTTTCTTTTTAATTTTATGTTATAGCAGGAGGAATCTTTTTCTATAATATTAATGAAAATTTTCACCATATTAAAATATATACTTCATTATGAACTCTTTAAAATCTATACTTTTGTTTTTTCATATTGTTACAATGTACAATTTTGTCAGTAAATTGTGAAGTCATAATCTAATGATTAATTAGAATTATATTTCTGTAAAGTATTAGATTTTTAACATTTCAGTAATTAGAGCATAAAAGTACACATTGACATTTAACACATTGACATTAAATACTTCTTAAAATTAAATATTATTTAATATTTTTATTAATATATTTAAAATATGTAATATATAAATTAGTATTAAATGTCTTTTTTTTCCTTTTTAGGTGCTAGAATAAGTATTGAGGGAACAGTGAAGTTAAAGACAATAGACAATGTTGATTTTTCCAAACTGCACACCTTTGAAGAAGTAACTGCTGCAGCCAACAATTCAGAAACTGTTCGTCAGCTAGAGGAAGTGCTGATGGTATGGTACAAACAGATCAAACAGGTAAATTGACTGAAACAATTGCATCTGGACTAGTAGTTTTTATGTGCGTCGTAGCCATTGTATTTTATCTCTAAATGTAAAGGGAAGAGGTATCTCCTTTGACTTTCTTCCAGAATCTGGTTTGAAACTCAGCCAATTTTTGGCTCTAGAGCAAAATCATTCTTCTTTGTGGACCACTTAAAATCAATTTTAAGATATTTCTCACTTCAAGGAAGAAAACATAACAATATGGGTTGAGAATGAAAGAATGAAGAATCAGGAATAGCCATCATTTATCCCCAGTAATGTTTAAATTGTTGATACTCTCCATAAAAGAGAGAGGGAAAAGACACAGCGAAGAGCCAGAGTGCTAGACACTAAATAAGCACCTCTAGGTCGATCAGTGGAGTTGTCTGTGCTGTCAAAGAAGTTCAGACTAGGCGGTTTGACATCAGCATCACAGTGGCAAGCCTGCAGCTCTACGGTCAAACTTTTTCTGGCAGTAAGAAAAGTAGTGATAGGAATACAACATATGTCAAAATTTTGAGAGGCACCAACTTATGCTATAAACACTGTGAAAGAAAATCGGCTATTACATAATTGCCCTAAACAGAAAGAGGACTCTAGGAACCACCCCCCAGATCTCTAGTTCATCAGCACAGGACAGCAGAACTAGACAAGAAAATCTTCAGTTATGTGAGGATCAAGGGGAAAAAATCTTGACCAGGCAGGAGGTACAGAAAAGCATTTCCAGTTTTACCTTTCTAGAACTATGTTAGGAGGAGGGCTGTGCAGTTGGAGTGGCAAAAATTGGAGGACTCCCCTAGGGTCTAGAGTGCTGGCCACAGCATTCGCTTCCAGGTGTCATTAGATGATTGAAACGGGTAATTGCCCACTGGATAACTCTTGCAGCCACCGTACCCAGCCAAGACTTCCTATTTAAAAAAAAAAATCTTTGGTGACACTTGGAATTGTCAGATTTTTAGTTGTTGCCAATATGTTGAGTGTGAAATGATATCTTGGTTTACTTTGTATTACTCTAAATACTATTGAGGTTGAGCATATTTAATGGCTATTTTGGTTTCCTCTGTGTTGAATTGCTTGTTTATATCATTTACCCACATCATTGCCTGTTCATATCATTTATCCGTATCATCCCTTTATTCGTTTGGATGGCTTGATGTTATCTTACTACATTTTTGGAGGTTAAATAATATTTTCCAGATATTAGTCCTATGTTGATCCCCATTGTGTCATGTTTCATTTGGTATAGTGCCTTTAGTCATGTGGAAACTTAAGTTTTTGATGTAGATAAATATATTAATTACAAATGTTAATCCAGCCTCAACCTAGCTATCCCCAGTGACTACAAAAACTCTGTGCTTTTTGTATTTACTTATGTATTTACTTATGAAACCCTTTCTTACTCCAGTGTTACGAAGACATTCTCTTAAATTCTTTATTTTAAATAGTGAATATAACACAGACCAAAAATGAATATGATGAAAGGAACAAACTGTAAAATGAACACCTGTGTAACCTTTGCACAAGTTAAAAAATAGAACAAGGCTAGGCATGGTGGCTCACTCTTGTAATCCCAGCACTTTGGGAGCCCAAGGCAAGAGGATTGCTTGAGCCCAGGAGTTCAGGACCAGCCTAGGTGACACAGTGAGACCCTGCCTCAAATTAAATAAATAAATAAATAAATAAATAAATAAATGAAAGAAAGAAAAAACAGAACATTACCAGCACCTTAAAATGCCCTTGCATTTCTCTTCCCAGTTTTAAACACCTTTTCTTCCCCCTAGTGGTAACTATTATCTTGACAATTATGCTTTTCAATTCCATGTTTTTCTTTCTAGTTTTACCCTGTCTCCTACATTGTCTTTTAGAAATGTTACCATTTTATTTTTAACATTTAGGTGTTTAATCCATCTGGAATTTTGTGTGTGTGTGTGTGTGATGTGAGGTAGAAATCTAATTTTGTGTTTTTCATGTACCTGTAGTTAGCCAATTGTCTCGAATTAAGATTCTCTGTTAAATTGTTTAATAGTCCATTTTTTTCCTAACAAATTTGTAATATAATCTCTGTCCTATATAAAGTTGTTAGACCCCTTTGTTTATCCCACTGATCTATTTACTTGTTTTTTATACTATGCTGTGCTGCTTTAATTCTGTAGCGTTTTTCTAAACCAACATTTGGCACGCCAAGTGTTTTCTGTTTTTCGTCAAAACTACATTGACTATTTCAGGCTAATTGTTTTTCAAAATTAATTTTGAAACCAATTTTTAAAGTATCATGAAAAACTCTATTGAGATTTTGATTAGAATTTCGTTGAATGTGTACATTAATTTAGAGAAAACTGCCATCTTTATATTATTGAATTTTCCATCCATGAACATGATATACCTCCCCATTTAGGTAGGTCTTTTGTGTGTGTAAAATAAGTTTCAAAATTCTCTCCAAAAAGGTCTTGCATATCTTTCATTAGATTAATTTCCAGTTATCACTGTTTTTCTTTGCTGTTACAAATTGTACCTTTTTGGAAATTAAATTTTCACATTGCAAGATAGCTTGTAAAGAAGTGGTACTAATTTTTATGTATAGATCTAGCAACTTTACTAAATTGTTCACGTTTATTAATTGTAAAAAGTTTGTCTTTAGTCTTTTTTTTTTGGAGACAGGGTCCCATTCTGTCACCGAGGCTGGAGTGCAGTGGCATGATCATAGCTCACTGCAGCCTCCAACTTCTGGGCTTAAGTGATCCTCCCCCTTCAGCATCCTGAGTAGCTGGGACTACAGGCATGCACCACCACACCCAACTAATTTAAAAAATTTCTGTGGAGAAGGGGTCTTGCCTTGTTGCCCAGGCTGGTCTTGAACTCCTGGGCTCAAGCAATCCTCCACCTCAGCCTTCCAAAGTGCTGAAATTACAGGCAGGGGCCACTGCTCCCGACCTTAGATATGCTTGAAGTTTAAAAATGTATCAAACTATATCATCTGTGATTATGCTGTTTCTGTTTTTTTATTTCCAATTCTTATACCTTCTGTTTCTTTAGTTATCTTGTTCTGGGACATCTATTACCAGGTGGAATAGAAGTGGGTGGTGATTGTGGCAAACTTGTCATGTCCTTGGTTTTAAAGTGATGTTTTCTAAAATGTCACCTTTGGCCAGGGATGGTAACTCATGCCTGTAATCCAGACACTTTGGGAAACTGAGGCAGGAGGATTGCTTGAGCCCTGGAGTTTGAGACCAGCCTGGGCAACATAGTGACATGCTATCTCTACAAAAAATTACAAATTAGCTCTCTGTGGTAGCACTTGCCCATAGTCCTAGCTACTCAGTAGGATGAGGCGGGAGGATTGCTTCAGCCCAGGAGGTTCAGGCTGCGGTGCTCTCTGATTGTGCCACTGCACTCTAGTGTAGGCAACAGAGCGAGACCCTGCCTCAGAACAAACATACAAACAAAAAAGCCCCCAAACCAAAAAACTACGTTCCCCCCACCACCGAAAAAAACAAAACAAAATAAATAAGAGAAACTGTCACCTTTAAATATTACGTTTGCTGGAGAGTTTTAGTAGATAGTATTTATCATGTTGTAGAAGTTCTCCTCTAGTCTTCATTTACTAAGAGTTCTTAAACATTATTTGGTGTTGAACATTATTTATACTTTTAGCTGCTTTCAAAAAGATGCAATCAGATTTTAACGAAGAATATAACATTTCTATATTTTATAATTTTTTTTTGATTGCAGGTACTTATTGAGAGTGAGCAGATGAGAAAAGAAGCTGATGATTCAGGTCCACTCACTGAACTGGAACACTGGAAACGCATGTCAGCCAAGTTCAACTATATCATTGAGCAGATTAAAGGGCCAAGTTGTAAGGCTGTCATAAATGTGCTAAATGTTGCACACTCCAAACTGCTAAAGGTAAAAGGCTTTTTATTTAAAGTCTGGTATACTTCAGAACAAGCAGCTAGAAAATTATCCTGTTGAACTACTACTTAGTGTAATATACTGGAATCGTGTTTAGAAGTGTTAGCGTTTGAGTAAGACTTTTACATATATCACAATTATTTCCAGAAGAGGAAATGAAGATTTATTTCTGAGGATTTCACAGACCAATTTTGACCATACTGCTATGGGGTGATTTCTAGGAAAGTGATCATCTTTTATTTTTAAATTGTTTTTGAAATTGTAAATCAATGAAGAAAATCAATATAGGCTCGTTGAGGTAAACAACTGCATATAGAGTCAAAAGTAGAATACATCTCATCCCCACGATTCTACCTCTTTTCCTGGAGGTCATTTACAGTTTGGCTTGATTCTAGATCCTTTTCTTTTCTCTCTCTCTCTCTCTCTTTTTTTTTTTTTTTAAAACAGGGTCTCATTCCGTCGCTTAGGTGGGGTGCAATGGTGTGTTCACAGCGCACTGCAGCCCCCACCTCCCAGGCTCAAGCAATTGTCTTGCCTCAGCCTCCTGAGTAATTGGAACTAACGGGCATGCGCCACCATGCCCGGCTAATTTTCGTATTTGTTATAGAGATGGGATTTCACCATATTGCTCTGGGTGGTCTCAAACTCCTGAGCTCAAGTGATCCGCCCACCTCAGCCTCCCAAAGTGCTGGGATTACAGGCGTGAGCCACTGCACCTGACTTCTTTTTCTTTCTTTCTTTGTGTGTATTTCTTTCTTTGCACAGAAAAATAAACTAATACTTTTTTGGTGAAAGATTTAAGCAGTACAAATAAAACAAGTCTCTCTTAATCACATACCCTTAGCCCCACCACCCACAACTCTGTGTCCTGAATAGTAAGCACAGAAAGACAACCACATTTTTCTATTTTGTTTTTTTCTTCAAACATCTTCTGTGGTATTTATGTGTGAGTTTACTATGCATAAATGACATAGTTTAGTTTTGTGTTTCTAATTTTTAAATTAAATAAATGTCATAGCATAATACTTTTCAACTTCCCTTCCCTACCTTGATAGTATATCTTGGAGTTATGCCTGTTAGATGGAGCTGGAGCAGTATGGTTTTCCAAAAAATGTTGTTGTTGTTGTTTTTTGTTTGTTTGTTTTTAGACAGAATCTTACTCTGTCACCCAGGCTGGAGTGCAAAGGCACGATCACGGCTCACTGCAGCCTCGACCTCCCAGGCTTAAGCCATCCTCCCACCTCAGCCTCCTGAGTAGCTGGGACTACTGTCATACGCCACCATGCCCAACTAATTAAATAATTTTTTAAAAAACGTTGTCCAGGCTAGTCTCGAACTCCTGGGCTCAAGCAATTTTCCCACCTCAGCCTCCCAAAGTGCTAGGATTGCAGGTGTGAGTCACTGTGTCTTGCCCAAAATGTTAATGTAGCCTATTAGGTTTTATCTGATCATTTCCCTGTTTGTGGACCAATTTTCCCCTTTCTTTTTTTGCAAGTCTGAGATATAATTCACATACTATTCATTTTATCCATTTAAAGTGAACAATTCAGATATTTTTAGTGTATTCATAACTGCACAAATATCACCACAATCCAATTTTAGAACATTTTCATCACCTCAAAGAGAAACTCTGTATCCTTTAGCTCTCACCTTCCCATTTCCAACATTCCCCCTTCCCCCAAGCCCTCTGTCTAGATTTGCCTATTCTGGACATTTTATGTAAGTGGAATCATAGATTCTTTGCCTTTTGTTACTGGTTTCTTTCACTTGGCGTACTGTTTTCAAGGTTCGTCCATGTTGTAGCATGTATCGGTATGTCATTCCTTTTTATGGCTGGATCATATTCTGTTGTATGAATATACCACATTTTGTTTATCAGTTTATGGACATTTGGGTTGTTCCCATTCTTTTTGGCAATTATGCATAATGCTGCTATGAACATTCATGTACTGTACAACTTTTTGTGTTGATATATATTGTCATTTGTCTTGGTTATTATACCTAGGGGTGGAATTTCTGGGTCACATGTTAACTCTATGCTTAACTTTTTAAAGAAAATGGTTCCTTTTCTATGTGTTTATAAATATTGCTGCAGTGGAAGCTTTTATATGTCCATATGCAAATATTTCCTTAGGTTGGATACTCCACAACTTTTCAGCACTAATTATTAGTAAAGTTATATATTTTTTTCCAAGCAGGTGGCCTAAACCTGTAGTCTGAGCTACTTGGGAGGCTGAGGCAAGAGGATTGCTTGAACTCAAGAATTCTGAGCTGTAGTGCACTATGTTGATTGGCTGTCCACATTAAGTTTGGCATTGATATAGTGATGTCCCAGGAGTGGGCTGATGAAGGTGCCTAAGGAGGGGTGAACTGATCAAGGTCGGAAACAGAGAAGGTCAAAACTCTTGTGCTGATCAATAGTGGGATCATGCCTATGCATAGCCACTGCACTCTAGGCTGGGCAATGTAGCGAGACCCTATCTCATTAAAAAAACTAAAAAAAAATGTTGGGGGGCCAACCTGACATGGAAAATGGCCCGTTTTATTTTGTTCTTTCCTTGTTAGTAGTGGAGTTGTTCAGTTTTTGCATGTTTACTGGCTATTCATATTTCTTTTGTGAATTTTCTTTTTGTATCTTTGCCTTATTTAGAAAAATTCAGACATTGTTTTGTACTGATTTATAGGAGTTCTTTATTTTTTAATGTTTTTGAGACAGGCTTCTCTTCGTCACTCAGGTTGGAGTGCAGTGGCGCTATCATGATTCACTGCACCCTCGACCTCCCGGCTCAAGTGATCCTCCTGCCTCAGCCTCCTGAGTAGCTGAGACTATAGTCATGTGCCACTGTGCCTAACTAATTAAAAAAATTTTATTTATAGAGGTAGGGTCTCACTGTGTTGCCCAGGCTGGTCTCAAACTCCTGGGCTCAAGGAATCCTCCTGCCTCACACTCCCAAAGTGTTGGGATTACAGATGTGAGCCACTGTGCCTGGCCACTTGGAGTTCTTTATATAATATGAATATTAATCACTTGTTATATTTGTTGGGTGAAGTAATTCACCATGACTCCTGGGCATCTCTGCACATTTTCACTATATATGAAAAGAATGCAAGGTCCATACTACTCTTTATCTGAACATCTCTCAGAGTTGTGTTTGCAGTGAGCAACCTTGAGGGGTCAGTTCACGTGTACCCCAGACAAAGAGGAGAATTAGTTAACCGCTTACTGTAAAAAGGATAAATTCCCCTAAAGTCAATGTTCCTCACCTGTAACACAACCTATTGCATGTGCAAGCATCAGTTTGTGGATATATAGGGTCATGGGGGAACAAACGCAACATAATGCTCATGCCGGTTGCTGTGATGTAATAAAATCCTTGTCTCTGACCCCAAATCTCATGTTTTCTCCCATCATCCATAAAACAGTAAAAGGCTAATGCATTAACTTCTAAGCAGGGTAAAATCCCAGACCCCCATATGGACCTTGACAATTACAGTGCAAACTTTTTCTTAGTCTGTGGCTTGTATTTTTTTTAGAACTTGAACACTTGAACTCATTTTAGACTTATAGAAGAGTCAACCAGGATAGTACAGAGAGTTCCTGCCTGCTCTTCATCTAGCTTCCCCTAATGTAAACATCTTCAAACTATTGTACAATGATCAAAATGAAGGGATAACATTGGTACAATACTATTAAAGATGCTACACACAATTTGTATTTCTCCAGGTTTTCCACTTATGAATTTTTATCTGTTCTGGGATCCAATCCAGGATCCTATTTGCATTTGACTGTCATGTCTCTTTAGCCTCCTCCAATGGAACAGTTCCTTAGTCTATACTTGTATTTCATGACCTTGATACTTTTGAATAGTAATGGTCAGTTATTTAGAAGAATGTCCCTCAATTTGGGTTTGTCTGATGGTTTCTCGTGAATACATTGAAGTTATGCATCTTTGGTAAGAATGCCAGAGTTGATGTGCTCTTCCCAGTATGACTTATCAGGGGGTACATTATATTGATGTGCCTTATTACTGTTGATTTAAAATTGGTCATTTAGTTAGGGTGGAATTTGCCAGGTCTCTGTACTGTACACATATTGTATTTTGTGGAAGATAACCTTAAACTACATGAATAGCTTTCATAGATGGATCTTGACTGCGGTAGTTATTACTGTGGTATGCTAATGGTGGTTTTCTAGTTCCCTCATTCCTTCCACGTTTATTAATCAGAATTCTTATGTAAGAAAAAGTTGTCTCTTCTCTCATTGTAGTTATGTATTTGATCATTTATTTTCATTAATATAGCCTCATGGGTATTTATTTCATGCTTTCGGTTATAATTGAATACTATCATTATTTAGTTTGTTGCTCAAATTGTGTTTCCTCTTTGGCCATCGGGAAATCTTTCAGGTTGGCTCTTGTGTTTCCTTCTGATTCCCTTACTCTATTTGGACCACTTCTTTACTCTCTACCACTAGATAAATGCTGAAGGCTCATTTTGTATTTGTTCTGCCCTAGTCCTGAGATCAGCACTTCTCCAAGGAGCCTGGGTTTATTTTATTGGAGAGTAGTAATTAGGAACCGAAATCTGGGTGCTAGATGTGCTTTCTTATTGCTTATATTTTAATTTTAAAAAAATGGAATCATTTATAATGAATTTTTGTATTTAGTTGAAATAATTTTTTCAGCCTCTTATTGCTTTTGTCTTTCATGTATTGTTTAAAAAGACCTTCTTAAGAAGAATAAATTGGCTGGGCGTGGTGGCTCATGCCTGTAATCCGAGCACTTTGGGAGGCCGAGGTGGGTGGATCACCTGAGGTCAGAAGTTCGAGACCAGGCTGGCCAGAATGGCAAAACCCTGTCTCTGCTAAAAATACAAAAATTAGCCGGGAGTGGTGGTGCACGCCTGTAATCCCAGCTACTCGGGAGGCTGAGGAAGGAGAATCGCTTGAACCTGGGAGGTGGAGGTTGCAGTGAGCCGAGATCATGCCACTGCAC